TAGCCTTTAAAACTGCTCGTAACAGCAAAAGGTCCAAAAGGCCAGAACCCAGGTTGGCACTGACAATGTGCTCTCATCTCCAGACGCGACAACAACGGGCACCAGAGACACGACAAAGACAATGAACGAAACAGGACGGAGTGTGAAGGGAGACGTGGTGACAGCTGTCAGTCTTATTTACATGGTTCTCTGGCTGTCAATGCCACAGAACTTAAGAAATCAAGTTTAGAAATTGAAAGCGTTCTCACTAATCGATAATAAAAAGGCGAAACACCAGGACATGTTTAGAAAAGGACAGAAGATGTTAAAATGACACGCGTGAAACCCTGCGCCCTTAGAAGATGGATTTGTGGGGGGCCAGGCTGTGAGACGGGTCCCGCGGTCTCGAGCCTGGAGCGTCCTTGCTTTAGGGCAGAGAAGCAAGCAGAGGGCTGCAGAGAAAGCTGCTGACCGCAGCCTTCCCGGGGCGAGACCGCATCGGCGGAGGGCGACCTAGAGCAGGCAGGCACGGCAAGGCCGGGAGAAGGACGCGGTCTCCACTAACTGCCCCATTTTTACTGTGTTGCCGGACACTGCGCTTTCCCTGCGCTCCTCGCCTGCTGGTAAAAGGGGTCAGCCGTGGAGACCTCTGTGCTGCCCACTGGAGCCGGGTTCCTCCCGCCCACCCTCGTACCTTGAATATTACCTTTTTCTTTCTTCCCGGCCATTCTCCCCACAGGTATCTGGGGTCTGGTCAGTCCCCAGCAGCATAAATGCAAATAAGGACCTGCCTCTCCTTTTGACTTTATCACCTAAGAAACCGCCCACGTCAGGGATCCTGTTACATGGCCACCACCGAGATGGGTCCTGCCACAGAGCCGTCGGCAGGAACGCCGGTTAATATCAGCAGTTTGGGAAATTCATTTGGAATGAGGCCTTAAAACACGTCCTTCTTTTGACCTGATGATTCCAGTTCTATAATTATTTCTATAAATAACTGTAACTACTCCAACAGGCTCAGCAGAAGCCAGCTCGCTTTGGAGGTGTTGGGGAGAGGAAGCGCCTGCCGCCCCAGCCGTCCTGAAGTAGACCGGAGAAATGGACGTGGTGTTCCCGTGTCACAGCCCTGCACATGGCAGGAACACCCATCCGGGGCCTGCGAAGACAGATTCCACAGAAATAACAACCACCAGCAGCCGGAAAACACTGCGGAGCGTGCGGAAAGAGAGCTCCTCTGAAAGAAGGGATACCAACAAGATGGCACAGCACGCTTAACTCTGAGCAGCAGAAGACAGGAACATTTTATTTGCTTTCTGCTGGTTGTCTCCATTTCGGAACATTTTTACAAAGAGCTCAGTTTAATCAGGAGAAGCCCAGCAGCACATTTCGGGGGCCAGGTTGCTGGGGTCCAGCCTCACCTGCTGCTTCTCCCTGTGTGGGTTTTTTCGGTACAAACCCAGGTTTGGTTTACTCCAGAGCTCCGCTGGGACAATGGAATCAGGTACCTTCAGTAAGGCCACTGGGCGAGGGCTGGCTTAGACATGGAACGCGAAAACACTACTAATTATTAGTATTAAGACTGAATCAATATGACAGATAACAACCGATGTGTTGCCTTTGTGGCACACGTTTGCTTCTCTTGCTAACTCTTCGAGGAAGCAGTCTGGGCTGCAGTGCTGCGGGCAGGACCAACCCTGCTTGCTCCACAGCCCGATCCTGCCCAGCCTGCCGCTCTGTGTCTGGGGCTGGAGCCATGAGGAGGCTTTCTCCTCTGAGCACAAAAGCTCGCTGGTGGCTGATCCCACAGATCCTGAGGTGTGCCTCGCAGCCAGCCCCACTCCACTGCAACGGGCATCAGAGTCACATCCCCAGTACCCCAGCTGGAAGCCTGGTCACGGAGGACATTGTGCCAGGGCCACCCCTGTGGAAGCTGCTGAGTTCACCTAGCCCCATCTTCACAGTCAGGAGAGAAAGTGGCACCCCCTGAACCTACAGGACAGTCTCTCCCTGAGGCGGCACACAGGTGGGGAGGTAAAGACCTCATGGGAAGCCTGTGCCTGTGCCAGGAGAAGGAACAGGTGGTGGGGACACAGTTCGCCCCTTGAGCAACCTGCTGTACCTAGATCTGTCCAGATTCCCTAAGAACAGGGCCAGCAACCTCCTCTGCATAAGATACGTCATCTCAACAGGGGAACCCAGTGTCTCACATAGATGCCAGCTGCCAGCTCAGGGAGGGGGACTGCAGTGTGCACCTCGGGCAACCTCCCACCTCAGCCCAGCTGCTCTGGGAGATGCCCATTTCCCTCTACTCTCCATGGGCAACCTGCATGGCCCGCCGGGCAGGGTGGCCTCCCTAGTCAGGTATCTTTAGCACCTACTGTGACTTAGGTGCCCCAAGACCAGAGGACATCCCCTAGGACTCAAGAATTGCTGCCCTGTGCTTCAGACTTGGGGCTACGGTGGCAGTGTAATTCTCCAATAAACTGCAGTGCGCTCTGATGCGCAGGGCTCTGTTAATTCCGGCTGCTAATCAAACCAGCCCGTCACCACCAACAACAAACTGTCGATTGGTAGTGCGTGTTGGGATCCAGAACCAAGACTTCCGTTTCCTAGCAACAGAATTCAGCGCTCTGCTCATCCCCATCCTCAATCTCCCCCCTGGTCTGTCTCACCAGAGCCCTGGAAACGAGGTCTGGATGGAGCTGAGTGAGCTGGGAACTGGGCAGCATCTCTGTGATGAGCCCTGGATGTGGTCTCTGCAGCAGGTGGACCTGTGTCAGCTCTGCGGTTCCTCTCTTCCCCCAGCCCTGGGGCCCACTGGTACTCTGGGATGCAGGACTGGCCCTCCCGGCCTCCCTGGCTTGCACACTCCCCACTGTCCTGCGTTCTGTCACAGCACCAAAGGCCTCATGCCTATCCTTCCTGTGGGAACATTTGGTGCATGGCACAGATGATCTCTGGTGCCCTGAGCCTGCCCCAGCGGCCCTCAGGCTGCAGCCACGTAAGTGCCCTGGCCTCATTCCCACACCCAAATGTTCCCCCTGCTTAGACACCTCTCCCCACCGCCCACCCACCTGGGGGCAGCACAGCTCCCCGGTGCCCTACCCCGTTCAACATACATCGTGCCCATGCCAGAACAGAAAACCGTGGTAAACCCCTTACCAGGTGAGCTGCCAGCAGGTTAAAAATGGAATTCGGGTGGAAAACACCGAGAGTGCTGTGAGAGCAACCGTCCTGTCAGGCTTTTGCGTCCGTTGCGTGTGCCTGTGTGTGGACTCATGTATGGCATGTGAGTGCTGGTCCTGAGGAGGACACCGAGTGATGTGCAGTGAGTCTCCTGGACATCCTCTGCGACACACTCCTTGCTGGGCCCCGGAATTTGATCTCGGGCCAAATACCCCAACAGTGTACACAATTGCTTTGCTCCTTGTTCTCAAATCTATGGCAAGTTCCTGGGGACAGGAAATGCAAGTCCTGTGGCCTCCAGGCCCCCAGTGCCTGGCATCCAGTGGGCTCTCGGTAGCACAGGTCAAGTGAGCAGCACCTGGCATGGAACAGGAATTTGGGGTGCACAGGGTGGAATGGGTTATGCGGCATTTTACAGTCATGTTCTCACCAGCAGGAAAACAGGCCGAAACCACAGCCAGGAACCTGCGCAGGGAGATCTGGCCACCCACGGTGGGCTCCCTGGAGCCCACCCCAGGAGCTGTTCCGAGGCGCTGCCCAGCTCCGCAGTGTCCTCCTTGCAGGAAAGGGAGCAGGGTCAAGCCGTTCTTGGGAAGATGATTGGACCAAATTTTTATCACATCCACGCAGGACATGGAACCCTGTGGGGACACAGCCACCTCACAGCGAGGACACTGTCAGGAGCCCTTCACTGCCTCGGCTCCCCTGGGGTCCTGGGATGGTTCTGGGTGAGCATGGCTGTGAATGAGAGACAGCATGAGCGTGTTTGAGTGTGCAATGCGCATGTGTGACAGGTGTTGTGCATGTGTGCACATGTGCCCCTCTGCGGCATGGTCTGCAGACCAAGGCTCCAAGTGAAGGGACTATGCTGGTGACCACCTGCTGCCTTTCCAGGTCCAAGAAGACCTCTTGGGGCACAAGTTCTCTCTGCTCCTGCAGGACAGGGCAATCCTGGGAACCCCAAAGTGGTGCTTTCTGTTAGCAGGGGCTCCCAGCTGCCGGGAAGGAAGGCATGGGCCCTGGGAGTGGGCATCCACAGGAAAGGCACCTGCCCAGGCCCCAGCACCACCTGGACTTGGCAGTTTATCCCCTGGGCTGTCTCAGGGATGGGACGTGGACAGTGGCAAGTGGTCTCAAAGGGTGTCCACCCACAGCTTGTTTATAGCAATGAAGCCAAGATGCAGGTAATAATTACACAAATGGAGCGCACTGTAAACCCTGTTACCAGCCCAGCACTGTGAAACCACAGACCACTGGAGCTTGACCTGTCCGGGCTCCAGGAGAGAAGCAACCAGTGGAGTCACTTAAGAGGTGATCGCCAGAGATGAGCACAGTGTCCCCGGTGAAGAGGATGAGAGGGACATGGGCTTCCATGCCCGGCAGTGTCTACCCCGGGTGTGCAGGATCTCACATGGCGCAGGGCCTCAGGACCCGCGGGTCCAAGCCGCAGTGCTCCGTGGAGGGCCCAAGGCAGGCTCTGCTTAGAGTAAACTCCAACCGGGGCCAGGATCCCACCCCAGGGGAGGCCTAGGTTCCCGCCTGCCAGGCCGAGCCCACAAACTTCACGCTCCACAACCTGTCCACACGGCGCCCGGCCGTCTCTGTCGCCATCCAGAGGCACAGCTCGGGCGCGCCGGTCCCTCCGCCTCCCCCGCCAGTCCCGGGCCGGCGCTGGGCCCCGCGCGCCGTGTGCGCGCGCACTGCAGCCGGGGCCGCGGAGGAGCCGGGGCGCGCAGCGACGCCCAGAGCCGCGGGCCGGCGTCCCCGGGCGGGCGCGTGCGGCAGGCGCGGGGCCGGGCCCGGCGGCGGCGGCGGAGGCGGCGGAGGACGATGGCGCGCGCGGGGCCCGCACGTGGAGGCCGGCGCGGGGGCGCGGGCCGGGCCGGCTGCTGAGACGCGCAGCTGCCCCGCGCGGGCGCCGCGGCTTCAATGGCGCCATCGCCCAGGACCAGCAGCCGGCAAGATGCGACCGCCCTGCCCAGCATGTCCTCAACTTTTTGGGCGTTCATGATCCTGGCCAGCCTGCTCATCGCCTACTGCAGTGAGTACCGCGCCCGGCCCCGCGCGGCCCTCGGCCCGGCCTGCGCCCCCGGCCGCCGAGTGGCGCGGAGTTGGAGCGGGGCGCCGTCCCTGTCCCCGCCGCTCCCGGGGCCCCTCGGCCCGCCGGCCCGGGCTGGGCTCTGCGCCCCGCTCCCGGCGCCCTGGGGTGGCATCTCCCGCTCCTCCGAGCCCCGTAGGGCCCCGCGCCAGGCCCGGGTGGAGCAGCACGGAGGTGCCCACCGTGCCCGCCCGGCTCCTGTCGCCTGTCGCCGTCACTCCCGGCCCAGCGGCCCTGCGAGCAGCCGCGCGGCCGGGCGGTGCGCGGGGGGCGGCGGCGATCCGGACGCGAGCGACTCGGCCGGGTCTGGGGCGCTGTGCCCGGCGCTGGCGGCCCGCCGCACTTCCGCTCCCGGAGACTTGGGCCGCGGTGGCTGAGCCCCAGCGGGCTCCTGGGGGGTCGCGGGCTCTGGTTGGACCCGCACTGCCTCTGTCTGTCCGGGAAACCGCTCCTGGTGCCTTCCGAACGGGAGGAGTTGGGGGGGGGGCGCCAGGAAACCCGCCACCCTGGAGGCATGCGAGAGGGTCTGGTGGGACGGAGCTGGGGCCAGAGGGTCTGCGTGGCCCTCGGCCAGGGTTGGGGGTTGGGTGGGTGTGCAGTGGGGGTGAGCTCCCAGCTGGGGGCTGAGTGCAGGGCTGGTCTGTGCTGGGCACAGAGTTGGGGTGGGTAATCAGCGTCCTGGCAGCTTCTGGGCGGGTGGGCACAGGCTCTGGCTGGGTGGAGGGGGCTTGTCCGCTTCCTGACCACTGGGCACGGGGCTGCCGCTGCCTTTCCATCCCAGGAGGAAGCACGGGTCCTAGACACCTGTCAGGGTATTGCCCATGGGTGCAGGAGGGATGGGAAAATGGATTCCTGAGAGAGAGAGAGAGAGACAGAGAGAGAGACAGACAGACAGACAGACAGACAGACAGAGACAGAGAGTGGCCGGCACTGAGCCTCTCTCTGCCTCCTGGGCTGGGCCACCTCTGAGTACGGATCTCCAGCCTCCTCTGGTTTCAGCCTTCTGCTGTCTTGGCAGTGGGACTGCAGTGGCCTCTGAGATTCGGCTGCCAGAGTCCAGGGCACCAAAGGACCCTGAGCAGAAATCTTGTCCTCTCTGACCTGGGCTGTGCGTTCAATGTGATTGCTGTGGGTCCTCTGGGGAGGGTCCCCAAGGCAGGGAGGGTCAGGCAAGGGGAGCTGTAACCCAGCTACTCATGGGGACTCTGCTCTCGGGGTTACCCCTCTATCACACTTGGTAAGCTGGCTGCTGGGCCTGGGGGTGTACATGGAATCTGTGCCCCTCCCCCAGTCCTGGGGGAGGCGTTCAGGGGCTCCTTATGTGGACCCCTGAGCATGGGGTCCACATCCCTTGGTGATGTGGAACGGCTTAACAGCAGGTAAACTCTTAGAGCTGAGGAGGTGGCTTTTGAATGCACTTCCTAGTGGCTTCATGGGAGGAGGGGCCGGGTCAGCAGTGCTGGGAGGACCATGTCCTGCGGGAGCTCCCGCTGCTGCCCTAACTGCTTCCTCCCTGGTTCTGGCACGGTGTCCTTGGGCCTGCTCTGAGAGAACCCAGAACCACAGGCGGGCCCCTGGAAGGCAGCTGGGCAGGTGCAGAGAAGCCAGATGCTAATTGCTGCTAAGAACATGCCACCTAGCCCGAGGCCTCAGCCCTGCACCGCAGCCAGCCAGGACATGCCCCCGACCCCCTCACCAGGCGCAGGCAGCGCTGCCTCCCCCACCCCGGCCACAGCCCAGATCCCAGCGCCGTCACTTTGTCCCCGATGGATGGCTCACACCTGTCCGAGACTGCTGCCTCTTCTCCTGAGCTGGATCGGAGTGCAGACCTGGCCCTGCCGGCCGCTCGGAGAACAGAGGGAGAAAGAGCCCGTCTTGCAAGGGCCCCGCCACGCCGAGAGCTGCTCTGCTGTCACAGCAAGGACATTTGTTAGAAATGTCCAGCGCGGCCGCTCTTGGCGACAGCAGCTTGGGTGAGCTGTGTTTTGACAGCTCTTTCCTCCCCGCTCTGTGGAGTGGGTTAGCTGACAATAAGATAACATTTTGGACACACCCCATTACCCCAGGAATGCACTTGGAGAAATTAAAACATTTCACTGAGATACAGGGTACACATAATAGTAATTTACAGCTTGGAATTGCAGCCTACCGAAAAAACAAAAATTCTCTTCTCTTAGAATTGATAAAGCAAATAAAATGATGAACAGTTCCTGTGCATTCCATCCTCTCACCCAGGATGTCTAGGATGCAGGAAAATAGTTCACATCTTTGTTTGTAAATTGTTTTGCTATCAGCGAGCGTTTTTTATTACCCCGCATGTTCCCGGGTTATGGAGCAAATGTACTTGTATCGGATTAATTGGGGAAGTGATAAGAATCACACAGGATCCCGTCCTCCTGCCTCCTGACTCTGTGTTTCTCCGCAGTATGTGAGGTGTTCACTTCCTGGTGATGCTAAGAGGAAACCGGATTAGTTCCTGGCCTGGTTTCTCTGAGGGGAATTCTGCCACTCTGGCCGGGTTTAAAGTCCTTCCTTCTATGCCTGAGGCTGAGATTCACATTTAAGGGGTTGAGCGCCACTCTCTGGCTAGAGAAAGACCTGCAGTCCACCAATTAGGCTGGTTGCTATGGTGACACAGTCTTGTCATTTTCTCCTATTGGGGAAGAATTGCCAGGAAAAGCAAAAAGGGAAGGGGGCCCTGCGTGGTTTCCTTTAAAGTGCACGCTCCATGGTGCGTGTCCAGCGCGCTGGCCACAGGCTCCACTTCTTTGGCAGACGATGCTGCCAGAAGCCTGCATGAGTGGACTTAGGAGGTGACAAGCTTGAGGCAAAAGTTGCTGGGCTCTGTTCTGGGCCTGGGACTACTCGGGTGGTGGTGTGGAGGAGCCAGCACCCACTGACGACCTCCAGTGTGCAGGACTCAGAGGCCAGCCGGTCCGGACCGGGCTCCCAGCTCCCGAGTGGGAAGGGGCCTCTGTGCCAGGGCCAGGGTGGCTGCCTGCTGTGCTGGTCCCTGAGATTCTGCCTCACCTGCTGGCTGTGGTGTGCTGGACATAATACCTGTGAGGACCGTGGAGAAGACTGCGCTGCTGTGACGTGTGACCGCAGCCTCGGGTTTGACACCTGCAGGCAGTGTTTAACTCCTAGGCGAAGAGCTCTGTGCGTTAGTGTTCACAGCACCGGCCCTGTGGGGGACACACTCTGGCAGGTCAGTGGTGGGGACAGTCTCCTTTCGAAGCACCAGGGAGCCCTGTGGAGCAGGACAGGCAACCAGGACATTTGGTGCATTTTTTTCTTAAATAAATCCCTTCAGCGTGGAATTGTGTCTTCCAGTTAAATCTCCTGTCCTCAGCTGCAACTAGGAGGAGAAATTATAAACAATTTTGGAGTTGTTTTTAATCCATTAGAATACTAACCAAGCATAGGCACTCCGATGCGGCATTTCTTTTATAAATACAATTTATGGCATATTTAAGAGAGATTAGAGTAAGCATCTCCTTGCGACTCAGTTTTTATTTCCGGTGTTCTTGGAAAGGTAAAGTAGAAATGGTGAAGCCTTAATGAAGGGATACTGTCTGGGATTTTTTTCCATTTTTTAAAAATTTCCTACTGTGTTTTAATTTGATGGATTTCTGGCACAACATGTGCCGTTTTTAACAAGGACATAAAGATAGGTTCCTTCTCCCGGTGGGATTTTTACTAGCTGAGCTGGGTGTCCAAGGACCATGGCGGTACAGGCGGGTTGTCTTCTTGGACTTCCCGAGGGAAGACGCCTCTAGGACAGCGACCTCCTCCTGGCCCCTGGACTTTCCCTGGGCCAGGCCAGGCAACACTCGAACCCAAACCCCGAAAGGGCCTCAGCCCGGTGGCTCTGGTCCCCGGGACTCCGCACTCTGGACTCTGCTGCTCTGTGTCCATGGCGTGAAATATGCAGATCAACTTTTGTGGTGTGAAGTATTTTCAGGTGACTTTTATGGGTGTAATTAGGGGAAATGTTATGATAATGTGGCACTAGGAAAGGAAAGGAAAGCAAAACATTAAAATCCTCGTTTCTTTATATAGCATCCCAGCTGTGCTGATTGAGAAGGACTCGTTTTTGCATTAAAATGTGGCACTCTGGACTTAATGACCTCGGCAGACTGCCACCTGTCACCCAGAGCACTGCTGATGACAGCCCAGCCCCAGCCATCACGGGAGGAGTGGACAGGTCGCGGCTGCAGGGACTCCGCTATGGCGAGCTCTGGAGTGCTCACGTGACTTCCTGGGGTTTGGGTGCGGGGTGCATGGTGTTGGCTGCTGGGTCAGGGCCTGAGGGTGCTGGGCAGCAGGGCCCAAGGGCAGGTGGCTGCCCTTCCCCCATGCTGCGCTGCAGGCCGCTGAGGGCCTTCTTCCGGCATCTCTGGGAAGGCCCTGCGATACCCCAAGGCCTGAAGGCCCCTGGAGTCCCCCAAATGCTGCTCCTCCTGCCCAGAGTGCTCTGCTGGGAATGTGTGCTAACCCAGTCCTGGCAGCTGATGGAGCTTTCTGGGCGCTGGGCTTCCCCAGAAGGCTGGGTGGCTGGCTGCGGGGCTCTAGGCGCCTGCCCTTCTTCCTCCTCCGTCCAGGGAATGCGAGGCATCGCTCCTGGGAGCTCCGGAATGTCTGCTTACCGATTGAGAGTGCTGGCTGGATGCTTTCATCTCCAGCCAGGCGGGGCTGGGGCCTGCTCTGGGATCACTATCCGCCAACTCTGTGCTGCTCTAGTGGCAGCACGGGCCTGGCAGACAGTGTCCTGGGTGAAGGCCCGTCATCCCTCACAGGGACATGGCTCTGCGGCTGTCCTTCCTGGCAATGGGGAGGTGACCAGGCTGGAGGGAACCAGCGGCAGGCCCAGTGGCAGGCACGGTGGAGGCTGGGAGCTCTCAGGTGCCAGGCCCTGGGGCAGAAATGTGGGCAAGACAGCT